GCTGTAGTATTGTTGTTGCCACCGCTGCCATGTTGTGGAGACGCTGTGTGTTTCATTGTGAAAGTGAAACTACTTTGTTTGGCCTTCCAAAAGAGGACACGACTAGAAATCAGTGGTTTAGTTGTATTTACAACACTGTTCCAGAACAGTTCAACCCAAATATTCAGATGTGTGCAGCGCATTTTATGGAGGATGAGGACTGTATCCTGAGCCAGTAGCCTAGCAACACTGTAACTGCACTGACTGACAGCCCGTCTAGAACGCGCGTAGGTGGAAATATCATTAGAAAGTCTCTTGTCCTGTCAGATTAGAAAATCAGATTACAACTAGGCTAACTGTTATACATATAGGCTAACGATAGCCTAACGATCTTATTGTCAGGTTTATGTTCTGTTAAGTGGACCGTTATTTTGTCATTCTCTTCTGTTTACTTCACTTCCTGTTTCAACGCTATTTGGTTTCGGTTTCATTGTCTTCTGAATATGACCTCGTTAGTATTTTTAGCAGCATCATATGACCCCTTTAAGTGTCAGAAGTGAGACTTTTATTCTGTCAGACATTCTCTGTCTTCATTAGTTTAGTATTTTTGTTGAACAGTTCAGTCTAATAAATTAACAGAAATATTAAACATAGAAAGTAAACGGTGTATATGAAAAGGCATAGTGTTTGCCTTTCCATTATTAGTAACAAAAGCAAGCGCAATAATGCTTTATATACCGTCGGCATTCAGCGAATGCACATTTCATTTAAGCAAGTCTTTGAATTTTTAATAAATATTTAATTCCACAAACATTCCAAACAAATCCTGCTGTTAGATGCTCTGAAGTGTGCATTTTTAGTCATGTTTTTAATTTGTGGAAAATTCAGTTGAATCCTGAAAAATTCCAAAATAAGGGAGCTGCTATCAAAAGAATAAATAAATTAATAAGGGTTTGAGACTTCCTTTTTTTCCAATTATTTCTACTTTAGTAAATATTATGTAGTAGTAATTTATTTGTATTGCCATGTCAGCATCTAAGGTTATCTTCTTGGCAAATCTGACTTGCAATAATACAAGAGTTAAATAAACGCAAGATACAAACCAAGGAAACAGAAAAAACTGCAGTTAAAGTTATACAATTTACTTTTTAAATTAACATATGATAAAAAAAAAAATCTAAAATCTTTTCTGGTAAAATCTTACTAAACAAGTCAGTAAATATTATGTAAAATAAATAAATTAATTACAGCATGTGTTATTTACTACCTTAAAAAAAATTGCCTAATTAAAATGTGTGATATCATACCTTGTCAGCATTATGGAGTTACAAGTACCATGATACTGCCATTAATTATTTCCAGATATTACTTTTTAAGTATTCAATAAATACAGTCTATCCTTGCTAATATTGAAGTCGAATGATTTTATACTTAAACAATATAACGTTAACTTGTTTAACTGCACTGACATTTATTTTAAAATGACTTTTTTATGAGTTAGCATGAAAAACGAAAAATAACATCCTGACAGTTAAAAGTCCAAAAGTTTTGCTGTACATTCAAATAAATAACTCAATTCTCATCTCATTTGAATCATGTCCACAAATAAAGTAACAAACAGTAGTGCTGGGCGGTATACCGGTTCATACCGAATACCGGTTTTTATTTTTGTTATGATATGAATTTTGAAAATACCGCAATACCGGCGCATGTCACTTAAACAACGTTCGGAACGCGACACGGTTTGAAACGGGTGTTGCACTGTGGTGAGGGAACAGCTGTATGTGTTACTAAGCGTGAAAGTTCCAAAACTGAAACTGTAGAACTAATAGAACGTGATGACGCAGAAGAACTTATCCACAATATCCACACTGACCGCCACAAATATCCACCGCCCCCTGCCATCAGCTCCCGCGTCTCACACACACGAGCGTGACTTTAGCACTAGATTTAGCAACTTTCAGACCCTTTTAGCGGATTTTTTTCATAGAATATTCATACTGACAAACCTAGCGACTTTTTTGGATAAACCCTAGCTATGGTTCAGTTGGAAGATTTCACCAGTGCTGTCCCACGAACGCGAGGTCTGACTTTCCCGGAGAAGTGTCACCTCTCTCCGGCGTCTGTTCTGTGCAGTGAGCGGCAGAGAAGCAGCGTACCGCAGCCGACTCGTCAATAAATGAGTACAAAACAGCGTTTCCTAGCACCTGTCGCTTACTGATTGTTTGGAATTATAAATATGAGCGTAGTTCGTCTGTTAATATAACATGCACTTTTTTGGTTTGTTGTTTTTTTTAGTTTGTTACTCAGACGCAGGCAGTGCGCTGCATGAGACAAAAAAGTAATATAGCCAAAACAACCGCATAGCCGCTCTTTAGTGTAGATGCATGTTGATTTTATCAGACGATGCTGCGATTATAAATGAGAGTGACTCCTGGTTAACGTATTAAAAGTGGTCGTGTTTAGTCACTTATTTAGTGTGGTATTTTTTGACAATATTCACTCATCATGACAGTAAAATAGGGCATTCTAAGTCAATATACTGCAGTATTTCCTCTCTCAATCAGTAGAAAATATGGTTAACACCCAGTCA